GGAAAGTTTATACATTTATATTAATTTTAATTCATTAAAAATTGTATGGGTAATTAAATGGCAAGGATGGTTAACGTGACAAATATGAATCTAAATTTAGGTTACATGAGGATCAGTGTTGTTATTGTTAGCTAAAACTATTGAAAATCATGTTTATTTAAATAAAGCTGAAATAAAATAAAATATAATATTAGATGAAAAACTTTAATGAAAAGTGGAAATACTGTTTTGGCAGCTAAAAGTGAAATTAGTTGAAGTGCTAAAATGATTAAAACAGAAAATAAATAAATAAAAGCTAAACAGAAATATTTGAAAAAAATTAAATGAATTAAACTAAAACCTGAAAATATAAAAATAAAATCTAATTTAAAATATTAATAAATGCTAAACAAATACTAAATAAATAGTAAGTAGTAGATAAATAATATTAAAATAACGTTGATTTGAGTGACAAGAATGGGGACAAGAAAATGTAGCTACTGCATATGTAGGAAAGACCCATTTACTGATAAACAACTATGTTTAAAATAATTATTATGCTTCCATGTTGTAAATCTTCCATAATATCTTTCCCACAATGCGCAGTTTTCCACCACATAATAATGCCATTTGTTAGAGGAAGGATGCAGTAAATAAGTGTGACGGGGAGTCCGGATGGAAGCCTGTAAAATGATTCATTCTCATGAAAACTCCCAACAGCGGCATTTTGTGTCCGTTTAGCAGGACCCTAATGAGCGAATCTTGTCAGTTAAGCCAGGACTAATTAACGGCCTGGTTGATGCCGCCCTGAAGCCAGCGCGATTCGCCCTCGTTGCTAATAAACAGTCGGGTCCTTATGACATCACAACAGGCCTCCCTGTCAGAGAGGATGTCCGGGGGGCGACCCGGTGGCTCGTTCTCATCACATGACCCAGTAGTGCCTATACCATTTTAAGAGAGATGCTCGGGGTGAACGGCTGCGCTGGTTCTGATTAGCGCCGCATACGGGTGCTGGCAGATCTATCTAGGGCTGATTACCCAGCAGGCTGCAGATAATGAGGGTTTTTGTCTTTGCGAGATGTAATTGCTCACAGAACAGTGCAGAGCAGCAGCTCCACTAAAGATGGGCGGCAGCGTTGTTGTTGTTAACTAAAACTATTAAAAATTGATTCCGCTAACTGAAATAAATCTGATTTAAACAACAACAAAAAACTTAAATTTTAAAATAACAAAAAAAGTTAGAACTGCTGAAACAAGTTGAAATTGAAGTACTAAAATTATTCAAACTTTTAACCGAAGTAAAATTAATGCTAAATAGAAATTGTGTGTGTGTGTGTGTGTGTGTGTGTGTGTATATATATTTATAAAACGGATTGTTCCGGTCCTTGATTCTGATTGGCTGAGCCAAGTTCGAAGCTGTTGTAAATTACTCTACAAACATACACCTTTGTTTACATTTGTGTGTTGCTCGGCAACCACTTTGTTGGAACCACAACCGTTTCTGAGGAACTACATTATTGTTTGACTGAAGAATAATGTTTTTATTAATATCATTACACTTTATTTGCTCTGTTTTATTTTGTGAAACCTTACTACGTATATGGAATAACCGTTTTATAAATGCAATAAGCCCCGTGAAGCCGTGGTTTACAGTGAATTTATAACAGCTAAGGGGGTTGTAGGCACTCGTGCCTAACAACGCCCCTCAGCTGTTATAATTCACTGTAAACCACGGCTTCACAGGGCTTATTGCTTTAATATAAACAGTAACAATGACAAAAGCACATACTAAAGTTAATAAAACTTAAACTAAAATTAAAACTTAATTTATATAATAGCGTATATAAAACTAAAATGTGTGTTTGTGTATATATATATATATATATTAAACAATTAATAAAAATGATAAAAGCACATAAAATGACTAAAATAAAAACAAAAATAAAATAAAATTTAATTTGAAAAATGAATAAATACTATAATTGAATATAAATATTACTAAAATAACATTGAGGGTCTGTTTTCTGTAAAATACTCCCAATTTCCATTCTGACACAACATTTCATGAAACTCTATAATAGTGTAAAAACACCACTGTACATTCATGTATGCTTCACTCCTTTGTGGTGTTTTCCTATTAAACCGTTATTCCCCCCCCCCCTATAATATGAGACTCATTTAGTTATATAAAGACCTGATAGGTGAAAACAGGTAACATGACTGATGAACAAATATAATAATTTTAAAGACATGGTTCACCCAAAAATAAAAATCTCTGGTCCCCATTGACTTCCATTGTATTTTTTCTTTACTATGGAAGTCAATGGGGACCATCAACTGTTTGTTTACACACATTCTTTAAAATATCTTCTTACAACTTGAGGGTGAATAAATGATGACAGAATTTTCTTTTTTTTTTGGTGAAATGAGTTGTCATTTCTTGCTCTTAAATAACATACTGCAATATTAAATGCAGAATTTCAGTTTCATCTCTTTTTTTTTTTTGTTGCATCTTGTTTCTTCAGACAATGGCCAAAGTTATAACATCCATGCTGAAGTTTCCCCCGGACCAGGCGCAGAAGGTTCTGGAGCGTGAGGATTCCCGTGTGATGGTGAGCGTGTCTTTAGTGTGCAGAAACAGCTGTGAGTTTAAGCGTAGCCTTCAAAGACTCTCCGTAACTCTCCATATGTTAACAAACTGGCTGAAACCGGCGTCCCAGATGTACAGCATTGATGCATTGATGTTCATTCTGCAGTTCATGTGCCGAGAGGGAGCCGATCAGATGCTAAATGAAGCACATACGTGTTTCTTATCAAATACTTTGTGGTTTGTTAACAGGTTTCTGCAGTGTGCTCACTGTTTCCTTTCCTGGAAACTGAATTCCTGACATTTATTTCAATTTCTCCAGTTGTTTAGTTGCTTCTTTGCTTTTTGTTAAACCACTCATTCAGGAAATCACTGCTCTGTAACTTTTTATAGCCAATAGCCTTTAGTTTACACTACCGTTTAGATTTTTTTAATGTTTCGATTTAAGTCTCTTCTGCTCACCAAGGCTGCATTTATTTGTTCAAAAATACAGTAAAAACTGGAAATATTATGGAATATTATTACAATTTAAAATAACTGTTTTCTATTGTAATATAAAGTAAAATGTAATTTATTCCTGTGATCAAAGCTGAATTTTCAGCATCATTACTCCAGTCTTCAGTGTCACATGATCCTTCAGAAATCATTCTAATATGCCGATTTACTGCTCAAAAAACATTTCTGGTTATTATCAATGCTGCTTCATGTTTTTGTGGAACCTGATACATTTTATTTTCACGATTCTTTGATGAATAGAAAGTTCAAAAGCTCCAATTTTTTTCGAAATAGAAATTTTTGTAACATTATGTCTTTACTGCGAAGTAAATACAATGCATCTTTGCTGAGCTAAAAGTATTAATTTCTTAAAAAATAATAATAAAAATCAAACACCATAGTAGATCATAGTAACTGTAGTAGAACATTGTAACAGTAATAGTAACTGCGTAGTAACGTGCTAAAAATCTCTCAAACTCCTTAGGAACAGCATAGCAACACCCTGGCAACCTCCTGCAAAACCCAAGCATTGTATCTAGCTAATGAGTTGTCACATGTTTATTCAGATGGCGTCATGTTTTTGGCTAGTGATTTTAATGCGTGTGCTTGCAGCTCTTAGTTGAAGTAACTGGGCTTCTGTTCCCCATCTGTGTGTTTTACAGCCTTGGCTCCGGTAAGGTGGAACCAGAACCGTGCCTGAACCTGACTGACCGAACGGCAGATTCTCCAGCTACTGCTGCTGAGAGATGCTACTGACATGAAAGAGCCTGCTCTACTTATCTGTGTGTGTGAGCGATATGCAATATGTATGCGTGTGTGTGAGAGCGATATGTATGTGTGTGCGGTTAATGGTACAAGGGAACTTGGTTTGGGTAGACGGTTCTTTTTTTAAAGCTGCATTTGTATGATTTGAAGACTTGTGCAATAATTTTGATTGTAAGTTTCAGTTTGCTTGATTCTCTCTATTTTTCCTGAATTATTTAGTCTTTTTTCTGTTTTAAGGTAAAATGAAATTACCCTTTAACTATCTGCACAGCACATGTACGATATAAAGACACAGGCTCATAGTATGCTGATTGTTTACTATGTTTTTTTGTAACTTAATACTGTATTTTCGGGGAAACTGACTAGTTAGAACCACGCTTCATATTGTAAATAATCATTGTTGGGAAAAAAAAGGCTATAAATCTCTGTCATAGGGCACTTTGAGGCGGTTAATACATTTTAAGACGACTAATAAAGTTTTATTTACACTACATTCAAATCCTCTTTTTTTCTGCATGCAGAAGCTCTGGTAACATTGCTGTATGTTGCGGTTGTCAGGTACTGGTCAGACTGGTTAAGCATCAGATTAATTCTCACTATAATATAGTCACTGTTGGCCAAATGTATAAATATGCAAAGATTTTGTACAAGAGATGTTGTGATGCTGAATGATTACCATATTCATATACCATGATACAGGGACCACCAAAAAACAAAAGCATTAAACATTATCACAATTTTATGGTGTCAGCATTCAGATATACTCCTGAGAATGAGCAAATTTGCATTACACACTGTGTATATATGTGTACAGTATGTATATATATGTATGTATATATGTTTATGTGTGTATGTATATATGTTTATGTATTTATATATATATAAATATATACATTTTCGCCAAATATAGAAAAACCAAGGATCTCCTTTTTAAACAGACTATTGACCAAACCTATGTCACAGTGTGTAAAACTTTTAATTGTAAATATGTACGCCAGTAATGAGCTGCAGTACTGAGCGCTGTCGGTAGGTGTCGCCAGTGGACGCGGCGCCACGCGCTCCTCGGCCTGTAACGTGAAATGTGATGCTCGCGCGCAACAACGCACGCGTCATCTCGAGCGCAGCGCTTTAATGCCAAGAGAAACTCCAGAGACGCAGCAGAAGAGAAGAGCCATGCAATGAGCGCGCTATCCTGACCCACACCTCCGATCCACAAACTCAAACCCTGTTTGCATGCGCTTAATTCCCACATTTAAGAAAAGGAAGTCGTGTAATCGTATAAATGTAGTTTTTCCATTTTGGGACTTTATAGACAGATTTAATAGCTTTTATAAAGTTCTCATCAGTTTGAACACTGAGGATGCGCAACAGAATGACGGAATTTTCTACACGGAAAAGAAGCGCTTTGGATGTTTTTGTGTGTTTGTGTTTGGTTTCTTTGGTTTATTCCTTCAACATTGACTTACAACATCCCGTGGTGTTCCGAGGACCAGATGCGACGTTTTTTGGATATTCGGTGCTGGAGCACGTCCATGACAACACACGCTGGTGAGTACTTGGTCTGGAATGGAATAAGCATTTATACAGTCAGTTTTGCGTCTTTGTAGTTGTTTTAATGGTGAAAATCAGTATTACCTCACTTTAGTCTGTTGAAGTTTGTCTCAAATTGTCTTTTGGCGCCCCTGGTACAGTAAGCCAGAGGTAAACTGTCTTAAAGACTTTATAAAAATAAAGATATTTATATATATATATATATATATAATAATCGGTTCATACATTTTGCCGTTACTTTCCTAACGGTAAGCGCTCGAGCGGTCTTCGGTTGCCAAGGTTACCTCCTCAGGTAAGGTTAAATGTCAGTTTCTCAGGTGAAAATAATCGCGCAATTAAACTCTTGTGGTCACTGAAATGTTCTTAATGATATATGAATAATTAAAACAGTGGTCTAAATGTAACCTAAAAGACCCGATAAATGTCATAACGTTGACGCCGCTAGCATAGTATGTCAAATGTAAACTTAAATGCATTTTTAACAGTTTTGTCTTAAATATGTAATAAAATAAATGATGACAGCGCTCACTTTTTGCAAAACGTCGCTATGGTTACCTCAGGCGAGCGCTAATATTGGTTTAGCGCTAGGTGAATTATTTACGTTTTCTGTGTAAATTGTCTTGTTTATTTTGATTTATCTTGGTGTTGGATTGTCACTGTGGCTCTAAAAATAATTTGGACTATTAAAATGTGTATTAGTATTGCCTAAGATGATAAAAACCAAACCAAGTTGCATATGTTTTGATTTCAAACCAGTCTCTGAGCAAGAATGAACAAGTGAGTTAGTTAATTCTGGAAAAAGCTCCTTCTGCATTTGGAGAATGACATTTGGTTTGATGTTTTGTTGTCTAGTCTAATGCAAGACATTTAGGGCTTTTAAACTGCGATTACAAGCGGCACCACAAAATAATTACACTTATGTACATGCATTTCTTTAGCATGCTAACAAAAGTACAATGTTTTCCCTTACTTTTATGACTCAACTCTTGCCATTACATTTCAGACATGCAACTTTTTGCAACGTCTCTTATGACTGTACAGATGTTAAGCCTTTCTTCCAAGGGCTGTCCTAAAGTTTAAAGGGAAACACTGGCCAGCGCCTAAAACATTGCCTTTGCTTCAGTGGAGATGATGATGTAGTTCTTGCATCACCGAATTGTAGAGCCAAACCATGACAGTATGACAAGGCAAAACCACCTCCAGGGCTAATTCATTTATAAAACAGACCTACAAAGGATAGTTTTGTCTTCCAGTTTATAATGATAAAAAGCTGTATAAATGGACTTCTGTCCCAGGCATCCCAGGTTGTGTGTGTAGTTGTATTGTGATGTACAGTGACACTGTTTCTCCTGATGTCTGTAGGATTGTGGTTGGGGCTCCCAGAGCAAACTCATCATTCAGCAGTTCGGTTCAATCACCTGGAGCTGTATACAAGTGCCGAATCCGCAACAACCCAGAGCAACGCTGCACTGAGATGGACCTCGGCAGAGGTGTGTATCTCACACACATCCAGAGTACACATGCAGTAGCTCTTACTTTACCTGTATACCTATAATATGTTTACATAAAGCCACATCTCAGCTGCGTGACTGTTTATATAATCAAAAATTTGACTATATTATTGTCAGACTCTATATATAAAGTTGGATGTGTTATGTCCAACTTTATCCACAAACATATGCTCACATAAAGTGGTAGGCCTATAGACTAAATAGCAAATCTTAACTGACTTTTTTTTGTCACAAAAATGAACTATATTATCATCTGGCTCTGTATATAAAGTTGGATATAAAAGAATGTCCATATAAAATAATAAGTATATAAAGTATGACTTGTATAAAAAGTATATAACTTATATAAAAAGTATAACTTTCTCCAGATGCATACAGTATACTTGTGTAAAGCGATATGAACCATATAGCAAATCTCAGCTGTGTGATTGTTTATATCATCAAACAAAAATGTAGCTATATTATTGCACAGCTCTCTATGTAAAGATGTCTAACTGTGTCTAAAGATCTTTTGTAAAAAGGGAAGTGAAAATGTGTTGATCTATTATCATTATATCCTCTGTGAGTGTCAGATGTGCTTGGTTTGACAGCACCAGTTTAAATACAAAACAGTTAGACGATGCCATCTGCACAGTCAAATCAACCGGTAAAAGAGCAGAACTGTTTTACACGGGTAGTTTAAAAACCCCAAACCACTGTACAACTGAAATCACTCATGAAGTTAAACATGGATGGATTTTGGACCGGTCAATATTTGAAAACCTGCCTGGACGATTGTTTTAGCAGCCTTGTTTTTGTCACTTTAACAACTTTTCTCCCAGTTTTAATCAAAAACATGGTTGTTATCTTATCCTGTTATTTTCACATTACCCCTGTTATACTAACACTCATTTTCAGCACTGATAGTGGGTCGATTTACACTTTTACTTTTGTAAACATGCATCATACTATGAGCTTGTTTATGTGATGGACAGCTGACAATATCATTGTTTTTTCTTTTTAACATTATTAATATTACTGTGTGAAATCAGTTAAAATGTCTGTAGTCTGGCTCCTGAAGTATTTTGATAGAAATGATGAATGGTTTGGCTAATATTTTCCGAACGGCCTTGCCAAGGATCCAATGTGTAGAAATCTCTTGAAGCTCTTTTCTTGTGGTGGAGAGATGAGAGCAGTTTGTGTGGCTTTAATGCGCACACTCCTGCTTGCTCTGTCTTACTGACAGAACACACATGAGCAAATGAGGCGTGTCCTGGGGCCCCAGCTTTGAGTGTACATGAATAATTTGGGATAAGACCCTTCATGGGCCCCCCTTGAGAAATATTGAGAAATATTGCTACTGATATAGTGAACTAGTTTCCATTTCTCTGAAGTGCTGTTAAAGGAATAGTTCACCCCAAAAATGAAAATTTGCTCAAAATGTACTCACCCTCAGGCCATCCAAGATGTAGATGAGTTTGTTTCTTCATCAGAACAGATTTGTAGAAATGTAGCATTACGTCACTTGCTCACCAATGGATCCTCTGCAGTGAATGGGTGCCGTCAGAATGAGTCCAAACAGCTGATAAAAACATCACAATAACCCACGAGTAATCCACACCACTCCAGTCCATCAGTTAATGACTTGTGAAGTGACAAGCTGTGTGTTTGTAAGAAACAAAGACGGTTTAACTTCCAGATCAGATCGCAGTACCATTTACTCATCTGCTTGCAGACATGAAGCTATTTATCGGTTACGAAATGGTCTTGATCTTGATAATTGCAAGCATATTTTGATATTTTCATTGAAGATCTTTACTGGTAAAGTGAAATGCATTGTCCTCAGTTGTTATGGGAAGCAATTTTCCACTTTCTAGTATGTCTCAGCTTCATCAAATACAGTAATTATGCTATTTCCTTCTAAGCAACACAGAACCTATTCAAAGCCATATTTAGGATGAGCAATTACCATCTTTATTTAGAGTAATAGAGCCAGTTGATTGTCTGGGGGATGAGGGTACTGAAGGATGTGTTTTATAGTGTACTATAGGAATAGATCTGTTCCAAAACCTAGTGAGCGGACTACCTAGACTCCATTCTTCATAGGTGTAATTTCAGAACAAAATTTTGGCCAATTTCAAAGGCAGCATGGCATGTGTTCCTCAAGGAAAAGGAAAAGCAATTGCAAGTTCAGTGGAAGAACTGGCATAAAAGATGAGAGAAATTTTTATTATAAATATACTTATACTCAACCCAGGTTTATTGGGAAAACAGGCCTGTGGCAACATTTATGCAAAATGATATTATGTTGTTTTGTGCACATGTTGTGAAGTAAAATGTCCAGTGAGTGGCTCTAAAAGTGCATTCAGTTTTATCCAACAAATATGAATCTTGCATTGTTTTATTACGTTGATCGTTGTACGCATCACAGCAGTTCGGAAATTAAATGCCATCTAAACTAAACCTAACTGATAGTGTTAACAACAGCAAACATGAGATAAAAAAACATTTGCAACCATGCATTTTAGCATGTTTATATGAGGCTTTGATCTCTTTTGTGGAGTTTTTTGACTCGTGTTTTAAGTGACTCGTACCCACCTGTACCAGATGAGCTAATGAGCAAGTTTACTACGTCATAAAAGACATGCATATGGAGTTGTTTGTGTGATAAAAACATTAAAATGTATTAGTTTGCAAATAATGTACTATGGTAGAAGTGTCTTAACACAGTATTGTGCAAGGAACTGCCAAAAATAAGTCTTCATTTTTCAATAGTCTGCCTCCGTAATCATAATTTGTGTGGAAAGGAATAAAAGTAGTTTTTGTTTTACTACCACTAGTGCTCATTTCGACCGGAAACTTGTATAGGTACGTTTTTGGAGCAAATTTTTCCAATGACCCTGGCTTGATTACATTTCATACAATAGTGCAAATTGTACAGCAATTGAGTGAAATCTAATTAAAACTGTTTGTGTGTTAGTGTTGCATTGCTAGCTGAGCAACATGCTAATGCCATCCACTGTACTGAACTGTTATTGGTTGATCAGGTTTGTTCCCACAGTGTTAAAAAGATCCTCACCTGACAAATCTTTCACCACATTCACTGTTGACCAACTCTCCATCATAGTTGCCCTGATCAAAGTAGCATGCGCATTTGTTTTCTTTCAGTTATCCGTTAACTGACCAGGACACTCCGGGCTCACGCTCGCTCACTACATGCTTCCAGATCTCATCCTACTTCTCATCCCCTCGCTAAGCGTTTCACAACCAGAAGAACACGGCACTCAGGACCCACACAGATGCGAAAACAAACACGTCTGTTACAGAGATGGCCGGGGGGGGGCCGGGGTTGCTGATTTGATGAGATGTTTATAGTCTGAGGAACATTCCTTGCGCCTTCTTATTTGAAGTGATGGCCAAGGTTTATAAGAAGGGAATTCTTCTCGCTGTTTGCCTGCAGTCTTGACCCTGTGAAATATATCTGTGTTCAATGAGTAGTGTTTTTTGGATGGTGCTTCGCTGCTAATTGCTGAAAATAATGTTTTGTCCGTATCCCAAGCAAACTTCATCTTGGTTTCTGACAGTTTGTGTTTCAATCCTAACTTGAGATCTGGCGCTCGTCTTTGTGTGCTTTGGATGCTTCGCAGCTTTGGGGGCAAAAGCATTAACTTCAAACAACCCGAACAAGACATGATTAGAACCAATTGTCCCACCTTTGACAAGCTGCTGTTTAGGAGGTAAAAGGTTGTTTCCTGACAGACTTTGTGTAATAGCTGCTATAAAAGACTAAATAATATTGCTATTAATACTGCTATAATTTCCATCCAAGTTCATGCTAGTTTCTCTTGGTTAGTGCTCGTCTTGCTGGTGGAGCACTAAAACTTTCTACATGACACTGCTGCTCAAAAGTTTGGGTTCAGTAAGATTCTTATAAGTTTTAATCAGCAAAAATGCACTAAATTGATCAAAAGTGAAGTCTTGCATATGGCGCACTATTTCCTTGACACTTGTAGGGCATTTCAAATCACTTTTGAGTGTGACAGATAGGATGTTGTCTTTGTAGGAAGTAGATGCCAGAACTATTTACTAGTTTTTGAGCTGGTGTGAAGATTTCTGGTTATGCATTGATTCATTCAAAACTGGGTGGGAGTAGAATAGGAATCCTAGTTCAGTTGGGCGTTTTGCAAGTCTCCGCACCAATGCTGTCAGTCTGCTGACAAGGAGGAGAAAAGAACCAGAGCCAAAGAAAACAGCCGCTGTCCCGGGAGCCATCACTCTTTCTCCTTCGGACAATCACAGTTTGCCCCTCAGAGGTCCGCTGTAGCTCAACGCTCATAGATAAACATTAAAGCCGACCCTTATGCTTAGATAAACTCCCTGCAGGAATAACACGCCTTGCTCGTAAATCCTCCATTTTTGTGCAGTTAAATACCCAAAATAGACAATAGAATACCTCCAAAATAGATCATGTCTGATTCAAGAAGCTGATATCTCATGGTTTATATTTTCCGAGGTCACCAGTGTTAACCATTTTTAATCCTAAACTTTTCAGGTAAATGAACTGTGATCATGCATTGAGTTTTTTTTAATGCCTTACATTTTAGTAAACCGACTGGGCTGTGTTTTCCCGAAAGGATCGTAAGCATAAATAGAAATTACCTCTACAGTCTGCTTAGTTTTACGATGCCTTTGGGAAATGCAGCCCTCGTGTATTTTTCTATTGTATTCCGTAGAGCTGCTTTATAGCTGAAATGAATTCGTTTGATAATTGATTAACCTTACAGCTGTTACGGGGCTGACAAGACGTGAGACGTGCGGATCCATGTGCAAGCTTTATTAACAGCAGAGGAGGTCAGAAACACAGGCAGGGTCGAACAGTGGCAAACA